CTTCCTAGGAAATTGCCTGCTGTGAATTCAGTGTCAAATCCACGTACAGTCTTGGGGAGAGAAGCAGGTATTGTGCTGAATTTGCAAGCTGTATTGGTTAGAGATGAAGTGGGTCGATCTAATGTGGGAAAAGCCCAAGATTCAGAGTTAGCCGAACCTGTAAGGACATGGAAAGGGAAAGATTCTTTGCTTGACCATGAAGAAATCATGCTTGATGTTATTACATTCAAGGGCAGCGGTGATTCATTGGAGGAAGGTGGATCTAGTTATTTTTCTGGAGCGAGTCACCCTGCAGAACCTGTAGACACGGATCTAATGAGAACTTTATATGTTCCAATCGGTCAGAAGAAGTCTGATCCTGGGTGTTTGATGAAGAGCATGTCAGTGAAGGGACCTTTTCTAGAAGATCTTTCAATTAGGGCTCCTCATAAGAAACCAAGTCCTGCTGTTCTTTCGCCTGCAGAAAGTTTGGTTGAAGAACCCAATGATTTAGTTGCATTGTCTTCATTTTCAGTTCCACGTGCATTACAAAATACAGATAACTCTCTCGTTCGTCCAGATTCAGATGAAAAAGAATGTGTTTGGGATGATTCTTTGCCTGCAAGTGGTAATGTAAGTCCACATAGCAGCATTGACAGTACTGGGGTCGTCACAACTATGAGCATTGTCAATAGCTGTGCCAGTACTTATAGGAGTGATGCAGTTACAAGTGATGGCATGCTTAGCACGGAGAGGAATTGTGAGAGTACGAAGGGAAGTGTCAGAGCAGATTCACTTGAGAGTGCAAAGACTAGTGTTAGCCGAGCAAGTGATAGCAGTGGTCTTAGTGATGACAGTAACTGGAGCAACATTACTGGGAGTGCTAATAAGCCTCATAAAGGAAATGATCCTAGGTGGAAGGCCATCCTTGCTATCCGGGCTCGAGATGGAATTTTGGGCATGAGTCATTTTAGATTGCTTAAACGGCTTGGTTGTGGTGACATTGGCAGTGTATATCTCTCAGAGCTGAGTGGTACTCGTTGTTATTTTGCAATGAAAGTAATGGACAAGGCATCCCTTGCAAGTCGTAAGAAGTTGAGTAGGGCTCAGACCGAAAGGGAGATTCTGCAGCTGCTGGACCATCCATTTCTGCCCACTCTGTATACACATTTTGAAACCGACAGATTCTCATGTCTAGTCATGGAATATTGTCCCGGGGGTGATCTACACGCTTTGAGGCAACGGCAACCTGGAAAGCATTTCTCAGAGTATGCTGCAAAGTATGGCTTATATATTCTCCTAGTTGTGTAGAATGTTAGCATCCTTAAAAGAAAAAAAATACTTTCTGTAGTAAAGTTTCATTTATATGTTATTGTTATTTAGCTTTCCTTTCACATGTTGGGAACCTTCAGTATATCTATAGTTCCACACTGATGGGTCCATGTCTTTGGAGTCATGGTGTCAAGTAAAACTTGCCTAGTTAATTAGAACTTTTCCTGGATCAGTTCCTATCTTAACCATCACAGAGTTCATATTATCTGAGTCAAAAGATAGTAGTTCTCCATGCAACCTTGGTCTATGTGTCAAGTTTATGAAAGTTATGTTCACCTTCATGCTGCTGAACACCATGCAAAGAGTGCATCCTTATGGACCTGCTAGCCTGTGTGTGTGAGAGATGAAATAGCAGATGCAACTAAATGAAGCTCGAATCTCCTTATTTTAGTGTGTTTTGTTTTAGAATGAACGGGAGTCTGCTAGCCTATGCGAACTAAATGTGTTGGGCATGGAAATGGATTCCTTTTATGAGTTTGCTTGGTTCCCTTTTATGAGTACATGCCATGGAATGAAATTGTTATCTGTTTTTGTTGAGTTCCAATATGGTTATCAGTTTATGAAGAAATGATACCCAGTATTTACTTGGCCCCTTAAGGCAGTACTATTTGGAAAATTAATTTCTCAGTGACTGTTGGAAAAGGTTATTATATATATCTACATTCATCACGTTTGGGAAGTTCATTATGTTTTTGTATAGATGGCATAAACACATATTGCTAAAGGCTTGGTCATCATATAAGTTTCATAAGCAAGTGTTTTTCATTAATATCAGTGAATTTCAGTTAGAAAAGTTATAAACCCTGTCTTTCTTCTTAATGCAGATTTTACGCTGCAGAGGTTCTATTAGCGCTGGAGTATCTCCACATGCTTGGGGTCGTCTATAGGGACTTGAAACCAGAAAATGTTCTAGTTCGTGATGATGGCCACATAATGCTCTCAGACTTTGATCTTTCCTTAAGATGCACAGTTTCTCCCACACTGATAAAATCCTCAGCATTTGATTCTGATCCTTCAAAACGTGGAGCTAGTGGTGCATTCTGTGTTCAACCCTCCTGTATTGAGCCTACATCAGTTTGCATCCAGCCTAACTGCTTTATCCCACGTTTATTCCCTCAAAAGAACAAGAAGAAAACCCGAAAACCTCGAGTTGAGTGTGGGTTGCCATCTAATACCCTCCTGGAGCTTGTTGCAGAGCCTACTGCAGCCCGGTCTATGTCCTTTGTTGGAACCCATGAATACCTAGCCCCTGAAATAATCAAAGGAGAAGGCCATGGAAGTGCTGTTGATTGGTGGACCTTTGGAATTTTCTTGCATGAACTGCTGTATGGTAAAACCCCCTTTAAAGGCTCAGGAAACCGTGCTACGCTGTTCAATGTTGTGGGGCAACAGTTGAGATTCCCAGATTCACCAGCAACCAGTTACGCTAGCCGTGATTTAATCCGTGGCTTGCTGGTGAAGGAGCCACAACACCGACTAGGGGTGAAGAGGGGTGCAACTGAGATCAAGCAACATCCTTTCTTTGAAGGTGTGAATTGGGCTCTAATACGATGCAGCACCCCACCTGAGGTGCCCAGACCAATGGAGAGTGAGTTGCCTGGAATGCCTGGGAAATTTGGGCCGATGGAGCCAGTTGGGGTTGGTAGCAGCAGTAAAAGGATGGTAGGGACAGACATGAAATCCGGAGGTAAATATCTGGACTTTGAGTTCTTCTAGTTTTGAAGTAGAGGATGCTGTGTTGTATTAGTATCATTAGTCACTCCCTCCAGGAGTTTGTTGACGCTACTTTGTTCTGATAATATACTTAAGCTAACTGCCTCATCAAAGAAAAAATTATGTTAATTGCACCAAAAAGAACAAAAAAAAAAGTGGCTTCTTTTTTAAAGTATGCGGCCTTTTTACCCATTAACTCACAGCGTCAGTTGATGTGAGAAATAATATAAGATAATTCAGACTTGAGTATTTACATAGCAAAAAGTTTATTATCATTTTTGTCTTAATTCTAAAATTGCTCCAGCTTTCTTAATTATATTCATGTAAAAATGATGCCATTCATGGTTGCATGGTGAAAAAACACACCTTCCTGATGGTTCCCTGTGATTTCTCCGGGAGTTAATAGCAGAAAAAAACACCATGTATCCGTCGATGTCGGGGAACCATGAATTGGGTTTTCGAGGGGTTATATTTTGAATGAACCCTGATGTGCCACTGATGTTGAAAAACTTGATTTTGGGTACCGCAGGTTTTTTCCAGCAGAAAATTGAAATAGAAACATTATTGGATGTTTATTCGCTGGGTTCGTTTTGGGTGCCTAGACATTTATCCTTTGTTTCATCACGATCAAGTAATCTATGCTCAAATTCTGACAAAAGCCTAAGCCTAACGATTTCTATCCAAAACTCATGGACTAACGAAGGGTTCTTACTTGTTAGCATTATCAGTTGGAACAAGGAGGTCCACATGACCACAATATTGAACTTTTCCTGTCAAACCCGAAACCTTTGGTCCCCTTACCTGGCCTCTTCTCCACTCTTCCCGGATTGGGTTCTCATTGATCTTTCACCTTTATCGTGTACTCGCCACTCGGTGCCTTGTCCATCACCCAAACTTTATGTTCTCTTCATGAAAAACAATTGGCTCTTCAAAGCAAACAAACAAACCAACAGCCAGAACGAATTTCAGTGCAAGGATCTGATGGGCCTAAGAATCGGATTCTTTGAAAATTAGAACACAATAATATTATATAAAACGAAAGAAAGAAAGAGTGAACTTACGTAATTCAAATATATGGTTGAGAGAATGGAGTGAGTTGAGTATTAAGATCTTCAGTGCAACCGGTCAATCAACTTCCAATGATGCTTGGGGGCATTGGAGAAATCAAAATTACTGTAAAAAAAAAAAAAAACACAGAAGCAATTCAGTTGTAGAAGACTTTGAAGTTGTAAACCTGCATGTGAGTTTGCCAATAACAAACCAATTTTTTCTTTTGACTGACTTACGTATTTGGTGAAAAGCAACAAAATAGAAGTTGGCTACGTTTATAGGATAGTAAGGGAAATTTAGCGGCTTATAATAACATGGAACAGAACAGAAGCTGTCAGATGAAGCAGAACTGATATTTGGAGGGCCCGAAATGATAATGAATTGAATTTCTGTTTGCAGATCAGATGGGGGGCAGAGTAATAGTATTAAATGTGAGAAATATTAGAGATTGAAACATGGATGGCAATGGTCCAGCTTCTGCAACTTAAAAAACATGACAACTTGTGCTGTTTTTGACTGTTTTTTCCACCATTCAAATTGGAGAAATGTTGTTTTACATATTAACCGTTTTGTCTCTTTTGATAACTCGACTTTCTTTTTCAACGGGAAAAAAGAGGAACTAGAGGAAGGTGGGGTAAGATACGAAATGATTAAAAAAAGAGAGTAAAGATTCATCTGCTTGGCAAAGGTGATATTGAGCTTCATCATGGCCACATAGCCCTGGATCAATAATGAATTGCCTGCCCTGGTCCCAACAATACCCACCATGTTTATAACCATAAGCCAACCAACCACCCTGCTCTGCAAGGAAAACAGGGGAAAACAGCAGTCCCCCCCGTCCCCCCCCCCCCCCCCCCTTTCTTTTCCTCCCAAAAGATTAGAATTTTTGTTCTTAAAATAAATCAGTAAACAAAAGTTTTGGAAGAGAGAAAAAGGCAGAATAGTGTATTTTATTGATCTGCTGAAATTGCAACCTTTTTTTCATACAAGAATCCGAGCAATTTCCTGTACCGACACTTCCTTTAATTGACAATAGAAGATGACAAAACCACAAAAAGACCTCCCACGTATTTACACATTCCTAAAAAAACCCAAAATTAATAAAACAATAATTATAAGAGCTCACAGCCAAAAATGCCCAGCTCCTATAATTTTCAACTGACCTCAAAAATTCAAGTGGGAAAAAAAATGTATTAATCTATTTGATATGATAGGAGCGAGAGCATACTGAATCAAGTGCTTCAGTAAATAAGGCAGAAAAGCTGGTCAAAGCTTGAAAAACCCCTGGCAAGCCTGTCTGAAGATTATTCAGAGTCATTGCTCTTGTCACCTCTACTGCTTTGGCATGCCTCAGTATTTCATCTTCCACCCGCCTTTGGCATGCTGCAAGCTCAGATTTTTTCTCAGCAAGGGGATCCCGAGCATCCAAAACCTGCCCATGATCAGGCCCAGAATCAGGAAGTCCAAGACCAACCATAGAGTATGAGTGGTAGAACTTCCTTTCTATGTTCCGAAGAGATGTCGCCTTTTTCTCAAGCTCCTTTGATGCAGTATCAGTTCGCTTCTTCATCTTAAGCTCTTCAGTTTGTTTAACAGATATCACATGCACAACATGGATAAAACTTTTGATAGCTTCAGAAGCTACTGTGTCGGGGACACGGCCAAGAGCAAGTTTCCACTCATCACAAAAAGCATATACATCAGCACGCTCTGCATTTCCATCAACATTGTCATTGCTGACAGGAAGAAGGGTGAGCTTGAACCAGCCATGGAGGGAGTGGATAAAATCCCGTTGAAATTTTATCAAACGGCAGAAACTAGAGTGCCAGGCAGCAACAACCGACTCAAGATCACGTGTTGCTTGCCGGTGCAATTCAGAAGTTGAATCACCTTTCCCTGATCTGTTTATAAGGCCACGGACTTGCTGCACAATATTGTTCTGAACTTCATGGTATTGATGCATGGACCCCCACATATACTTGAAGCTGCATCCAAATACATACAATTTGTAAAAATAATGTTCAAATTGAAATTATTTTAGCACCAAAATTGTTCTACTGCACTGAATTTCTATAATGTTCAAAGTTGACACAAATTTACTGTACCTAATATAATCGAAATCTAAATGACCAAAAGAAAGAAAGTAGCTGAGAATAATGTTTTCTTCTAATTTAAAATATGCCTGTAAAGCAAACTATTAGTCTGTTCTTCAACTTTCATGTATGGCACATCATTGTTTCCTTCTAATAGTGTTTGAGATGCAAGTTTTCAAAAATCACTCGCAAAATTGTTAGTTTAATCTCCAACACAAGGTCTGCAGGAATGTTCCCCATAAATTAGCTGATCCACTATAACTACGAACAGATCAAGCAGCCCACAAATGACCCATCTGTTTGGCAGTTTTGTTTTAGCAACAAACCCCACTGATCTCTGGAAGACAGCATTCTTAATCTAACAACAGGAGTTACAATACAGAATTTGCAAACTGTTTGAGGTGTTACAGTAAATCATCATACTTCTACTCATTCTTAATCATGCTGCTGAAGGACAATGATGATAACGACAACAATGATAATAATAAGGGGCTTAGACCAGCTTACCATCTTAAACAACCTGTTAAAATAGACTATGATGGGGCATATGATAGTGAACTCCAATGCACCTAACCCCCATCCCCACTTGTCTGTGGCATACAAAGAGTCTATAGATCAAAGAAACACTATCAAGTAGTATTTGGGCCACTGTCTGAGTCTTAAAGATAGAAATTAAAAAGTCCACGAGTACAAGGCACATGTGCTAACAGAGAGGATGGTCAAGTGAAATGACAGAGCAATGAGTAATAATGGTTCACCTACCATGCAACGTGCCAAAATCTACCCTTCAATGTTTCACACGAGAAAACAAATTCAAGATTCAACTCCCCTCCTGAATAAGAACTTAAGCCACCAGGGACAACTTCTCTTAAGTAAGAATGAATTTCAAAGAATGAAAATAATGGAAAAAGGGGGAAAGTAAAATTTTTGCTGACTTCTCTCACAAATAATCTATAAATAGGACAAGAGTTAAAATTATGAACTTTTCTTTTCTAGGGGAGCATAAGGATTGGAACTCTAATAATAATTTACCGGACTGGTAACATTGGTATTTAGATCAGTATTTCATGATCCATATAAAGTTTCCAAGAGTGTATATAGAATATTTAATGGTTTATGGTTGCATGTGGTTGCATTGCATCATTAACATTTCAAAAGAATGTCTTACCATTTCAAGACAAAATAGAGAGAAACAAAAGAAGAGAAAGAATACTTACCCATGACAAATTTCAACAAGCTGAGGAACAAGATCACTGTCTCTAAGACCAATAATGGCAGTAGAGGTGGTAGAGACAGCCTGAGATGTGACAACAATTAGTGACTGCAACCTTGTTATTGATGCCTTGGTATTGTCTATCTTGGTTTCATCCTCCCCCTTGTATTCTTGACTTTGCAGTGCTGACAACTTTTTCTCAAGCTCAATCTTTACTCCTTCTCTAGCCTGAAATTGTTGAAAAATTATTGCCTGTATTAGCGCTCATCTGAAACAACATGGCTCCCACATACATCACTGCAATGGCATAAATTCATCTTGGAGGACACCAACAACCAGGTAAATTATCAAATTATCTTTGCACCACATGTTTCTTTTCTTACACAGATATAATATGGAACCAGAATCCCAATGTCCAACCAATTCAAGAAACTTACAAAAGTTTAGATAAGATGACACCATAGGATGGGAAAAAGAACTTTTATTACCTCATACACGTTAACTAGCAACTTTTCCCCTTAGCATTCAATACAAAAAAACAGCAAAAACGAAATGTCCCGATGAATAACTTATTATTGAAGCATATAGGCAAATTAACTGAAAGCACCTTCATTCTCTACCAACCAGCACTAATTTAAGTAAATGGAAGGTAAGAACCTAAAAGTTCATTTACTGATTCAAAAGAAAAATTCCCAGACAAGAAATGTCCCACTACATTAACACTTATGAAATAGAGGAAAGGAATCTAGAAGAAAAAGTTAGTTGATTAGTAGCTAAACTGCATCCAGCTAAAACAATATTAAGCCCAAAACGCAATAAGATAAGTCGGTTGGACGTGGAAATCATCATGTTCCTAAGCTACCCTTGGGCCTAAACTGTCTTAACAGCAATGTTAAGGGTGTTTTAGTCATTATGACTATTACAATACTACTAATAATACAGAAAGCAAACAAAACAAAGGGATAATTACGGTGGAAAAAGAGTAACAATATAACCCACCCTACGAGGATTTAGGACCACAACAACTGTCCGATTTGACAACAATACCCCAGAAAGATTCGACCCCATTAACAGTTTCCAAAGGGCGTTTTTGTCCACATGGGAAAGGAAAATCAACAGTCAAAAACTGCGGTGGACTTACGCTACAGGGCGTATCCCTTGTCTCAAATACAGAAATTAGTAAAAAGCTAATTTTTTTTTTAAATAAATACGAAATAAATAATTTTTACCTTGACTTCCTTGTAGAGCTTTTTCTCCCAAGCCAAGAGCCGGTCTAAAGTAGAACAAAGGCTCTTCGAACCGCCCGGTTCATTGAGTGCAGTCGTGTCAAGCCGGTATTTCACCGCCAACGGCGGCTTTGAAGTCCAGCTCGAGCTCAAGTTACTGAACATGCTACTCGAATGATACACCGTCTCTGTAAATGTAAAACCAAAAATTTAATGAAAAATCACAAAAGAAAATAAGATTAATCAGTTCGAACTAAGATTAGCTTAACAGTTCTTCACATTTGAAGCTTACTTTTCAACTGCCTGAAGTTTTTATCAAGCTGAGCTCTACCGATCTCTAGCATCTCCGAAACCTGATCTCCGGCGGCGGCGGCTTTATCAAAATTCTCTTTGATCGCATCGACAATCTCTTTCAAATCCCTATGCCTAACCACCATCTTCATATCCATCATAGCACCCGTTCTATAACCGTCCGCCGACGATCCCGCATTCTCTGACTTATTATCCATTTTATTCTTCGCGGCAGTCCCATACATCTTCTGCTGTGGCTGCGGCTGTACCAGCGGAGGAGTCTGATTATGAAGATGATGCAACTTATCCAACTCCCCTCTCATCGAGGACCCGAAATTGGAGCGAGCACCAATGTCGGATCTGGATGCCCCGTCATCCTCCTCTTCATCCGATGAACTCATAGTGTAATGATCGTGGTCGTGGTCTCCCCATTCACTGCATTGCACTTCTTCTCTTTCGGTTTCCTCATCAAAATTACTCTTGGCGTTATCAGAATTGATATTGTAACGGTGATTTGGTTTCTGTGGACGGAAGAAATCGTATTCTGATTTTTCCGTTTCGGTGTCTTCCGTATCTTCAGGGTTGTTAGAATCTAAATGATGAAGCCGTTGCGGTGGTTGTTGCTTTCGTTGCTGTAATTTTTGGTCGAAGAATTCGGAGTCTGGTGGGGAGGGAGGGTAAAAATTTTCCCAGTTCCAAACGGAAGACGCTTGAGAAGGCGTGGTTGAGTAAGTGGAATTAGCTTGATAAGCCGTTGGGAAGAAGTTGGAAAAATCAGATTTCGAGCTTTGAGGAGAAGAAGGAGGGCTCGATTCGGATAAGATATGGGGGAGTTTCGGGGGTAACTTAGGTGGCCGACGACGATTGGATGCGGGTGATGGGATGCTTGAAGCGGAGAGTATGTGAGGGAGTTTGGAGCTAGCGATTGTTGGAGAAGGGGAAGGCGAAGGAGAGAAAGGAGGAGGAGGGGGAGGGGGGAGGGGGAGCGTGGACAGATGGGGAGGGAGATGGAGGGACACGTGGAGGGATCGGATTGGTAGGTGGAGGAGAAGGGTTGGCAGGATGGAGAAGAACGGCGGGGGTTTTGTCAGAGACGGAAAGGCGTTCACCAGCAGCAAAGGAGGAGAGAGCAGAGCCGGTAGAAAGGAGAGAGCGGCAGTAGTCGGCGTGAGCGGCGGCTAGGTGGTGTCGAGCGTGAACGGCTTCCTTCATTAGGCGGCGCCTATCCTTGCACCTCCTCACAGTGTCTTCATTGTCAAGCTTTGACGCCGTACAACCCATTCTAAAACACTAATTAATCAAACAGAAAAAAAAAAAAGAGTAAATCAATGCTGAGCAAAGAAGAAAAAAGTATGGAGTAAAAATGAATAGAAAAACAAAAGAAACTCTAAGCGGAGGCGCGTACTGTAATGGCGGTGCTGGAGTCAAGCTCAGTAAATTGCAAGTGCTATTTCTGAGATAGACAGCAACAGAAGAAATAAACAGTAAGGTTATAGCTAATGAAGTATTTGAAGCGTTCCCATTTTGTGTTGTGGGCTCTTCACACGGTCACACTCTTCCCTCTTACTTTCATTTGTTTTTTTTTCCTGAATTCTTTTTTAAAATAGTATTATCATCTACACTTTTTTTTTCCTCACTGTCTAAAACTTACTGATGGCTGTTTAGGAAGGAGGGTTGGGGGATTTGGTATTTAATATTGTTTAAATTTGTTGGTTGGTTAATTAAATATTTATTAATGAATTGGTGTTGCAGAAGGCTGTTTTTGTTTTGACATTTGCTTTACAGTAAGTAAGGCATAAAAAGGTAGACATTGATCTTCCGTAAAAAAAAAAAAAGAGAAATTGTTTTTGGACTGTGGGTCCTGTTCTTGATTATTGAGTTTTAGTGTGATAAGCAAGCATAATGCGGGATTTGTTGGCCTTTATGTGTAGGCATAGGATATTGCTGGATTTATTTAAAGGGGGACTCTGTTATTGTGTGCACCTTCTTGTCTTTGTTTGTTTATGCAGAGATCTACTATTATCTCCTATTTTATTATATTTGAAAAAGCACCTTGTTTTTTTAGAAAGTAGATTTATAAATGCAAATGCCGAAGAAAGAAAGATGTTTGTTTATGTATTCTTTTCCTCTTTTTGACATCACAAAGGACAATTTGTTAAAAGAACGAAATGTTTGGAGTGATGTAAATCCAGTATTTTAGATATTTAGACTCATGTTCTTCCCTTCGAAAATTTTCAACCAGTATCTGGCATGAATCTCTGCATCTTAATGAACTAAATGAGATTAAATGCAATGCGCTAGTCTTTTTGAAAATACAAGAAGAGATCTATCGATGGGAACCCAAATTCAAATGGGGAGCCAAAAGTTCTTGAAGAAGTAGCAACATGCCACAAAGTAGTGAAGGGATAGAAAGGCGGAATAACATAGATACTCTAAAATGAGTGGATCCTTTTGAAGAAAAGTAATGGGAGGTTTATTTTTCCCTCGTTATCCTTTTTATTACAGTCTTACTGGACCCAACTTCTCTCTTTTTCTCTTCTTTTCTTATTGTTGATCTTTCTACTTTACCTTTTCGAACAAACTTTTGCCTTATCGTTATACTTTACCGGAAGATTTAACGGTGTTAAAAAACCTTTCTAGCTTGAAGGCTTAACCCTTTCTACTCCCACCCCACCAGCACAAGCCTGAAGATGCCACTCGGATATGCCCAAATCTGAGGAGTCTGATTCTCCACGAGATTGTGGGTACCAACAATAGATGCTTAGACCTTCGTGGCTTCAATTTTTTGGGAAGAAAAAATTTAGGATGAGAAGAGATTTCTCGATCCAAAATCACGATAGATAATCACAATAAATAGTAAGTTTTTAAAAAAATTTACGTTAAATTTATAAACTACTCATCGAAAGAAATTATTAACAATAAAAATCAAGCTTAAATCTTAGAAAATATTCAAGTTTTACCAACATATGTGATAATCGAAACTACAAAATTTTTAGGGTTCGTAATCTCATTCAAATCGACAAGCAGGATGATAATCTTTTCCTCGATAGTTTTTACAATAAAATATTTAAGAAGTTAAAAATTGACATAAAGTGTGAAAATGATGTTGCAGCCATAACAGGAAACCATAACTACCCAAACTTTAACCTCTTGGAAACTAATCCAAACAACATCGAGCGCCACCCTAAACTCTTTTGATGAAGAAATGATACCCCCTACACTATAAAGAGCAGTATGAAAAATAAAAAAAAGTAATGCAGTTAAATAACAAACTTCAAGTGTCTTAAAAGATTTTTCAAAATTTAGAAGCAGTTTATGAGTACAGCAGAGACAAAGCCTCCTGCTCTAAACTGTAAACAAAGGATCACTAAAGCTGCAAACAAATATATTAATATAGTACTACAATTTCCCCCAGCTTTGGGTGCTGCAAGCGTCCAAGAACTCAAGCAGGTTCTAAAGAGTCGAAGGAAACAAGCAATAGTAGGCGGCAATCCAAAGAAAATGATGAACTGTTCTCTTCCCCAAAAGGTAAAAAAATGTGGACCAAAAAGGGGTTACATTTTTCTAGATTGGATTATCTAATCTTCTTTTTTTTTTCGTTTTTGATTTTCTTACTTTCACATTCTCTTTTGATTTCGTGGCCACGCCTGATTTACATCAACAAAAATCTTCCAATTGCTCGACCCATAATCAATCATTTTTGCATACACTATATGCTTTATCAGACAAAGAACTAATAGATACGTGATTAATCTTTAATCAGGAGATTTTGAGACTCTAATTAGAACTCGGGTCACCCAGTTTCCTAACCACCGCACCAATGTGACTTGAGCCTATCAAACAAAATAGAAACGGAATCACGTCATTTCAACTGGACGAATACCCCAGCCAAAGGAGGCGTGAACTTCTAAACTCAAACTAGGCCCCAACCCTAACAAATCAGCTTTCATTTCTTAGAATAGTCAATGATGCTTGTAATGTCACATTAATTTTTCAAAAACTAACATTCCTAAATGGCGTTTTGGTCATGAGCATTCCAGAAAACAGGAAATAGAGAAAAAAAAAAAAAAAAGGCAAACAGGATGATATAAATATATAAACGATTAAAGAGAGTTGAGACGGATATTAAGAGAACAAATTGAGAAGCAAAAGCAACCAACCAAGGAATATGTATCTCCACATGATTCTGACCCCACGAACCAAGGGGGTTGAGAGACACTTGGTGCTGTTTGGGTCCCACCACGTTTTCATTGCCAAACAGCTACCAGAAGAAAGAAAGGATCTCTTTTTGTCGAGTCAAACAAAACAAAAAACGTGGAGACGCACCCATACGGCTAGGCTACGGCAAGTCATAAAACTTTTTTAAGACTTATAAAAGCTAACTAGTTGGAGAGGCCTTTTTACCTAACAGAACCCTTGCTTGCACAACAGGCACGTGGCAGTCATACATGCTTCTCTGCTTCTACATTGTTTATCCAAAGTTGGCGAGAGTACTACAATGAGGAGCAGCCTCATTTTCTCATGGAGATGCAGCTGAAGAGGTGTTGGACGCATGTGTCCGGTCATCAGGAAACCCAAATTTCCCATACAACCCCTGAACCATGGAAAGGGTAAGTGTCAACGGAAACCGCACTATCTATCCTCAATTTGATCACAATATCTGTGTCGTTATCATAAAAGAATGATAGAAAAATTGAACAAAAAAGATGCAGTTCAATGATTGCAGTCATTTGATCTTAATCAAACTTTTTGATGATTAAAATATTTGTGACAAGCCACGCCAAGGACTGAGGAGGTTATTTTTTGAGCTGCTAAAACCGTTGGCTTCAGTGAATGTAATGATGAGATTAATACTTATTAATGCTATAAAATGTTCTAGTGATCTAGTGACACTAAATAAGGGGTATTTCTGGTCCGCTACACAAGGAAATAAACCTAAAAATTTAGTTCAGTACAAATAAACCTACAAATATATTTCTGGTCCTTCATGCAACAATCAAGGAAATTCAAATGATGAAGGAATATGAGGACAAACCAAAGAAAAATATGGACATATCATGACATCATTGATTGCATAAGCAACACAATAGTGCTCCTGAAAATCAACAGTTTGATTATCAGTGTGACGACAATAATAAACTCTGCAGAATTTTTTAATCAACAGATGAGAGGCATAGATTATGTGACCATCGCTTAATCTGCCAGCCAGGGCTGCAAGAACTAAGACATTTAGTTGTCACTTGTCAAAACAGCATCCACAGATAAAGTTCATCTTATTTTCCAGATACTTCTAGGGTGCTAACTTTCTGTTTCAGCGAAAGATTCACTTACCTGCATCATATGTGACCATCAATTAATCTGCCAGCCAGGGCTGCAAGAACTAAGACATTTAGTTGTCACTTGTCAGAACAGCATCCACAGATAAAGTTCATCTTATTTTCCAGATACTTCTAGGGTGCTAACTTTCTGTTTCAGCGAAAGATTCACTTACCTGCATCATATGCCATTCTTCAAATTCATCAAACAATTCCAGCCGCTCAATTCTAATCACCATAACTTCACATATAAGGATCCTCACGAAGAATATTTCAGAAATGCAAAAATGGCAAGCTTCCTGATGTAAAGTAGATGAAAAAGAGCAAAAGATGTGAATCAAGAAATTGGAAGGAATTTCTCTTTATATCTTCTCAAAAACCTTAAAAGAAAGCCTGCTAAAAGAAGGGAAGCAGAGATTCTTCTTTTCAGTAAGCAGCATTTGTAGAGCAGCAATGGCATGCACACGAAGACAAAGAAGAATTTATTATCTGATTCAGATTTCAACTTTCTACTTCTAATCAAAACATCTTTCCCCTATAGATCCAATTTGAAGGTACACTTGGCTGCTGCTTTTATTTCATCATCAATTTCATGGCCTACAGCCAAAGCTTCCACAGTTCCTAAGCTAATTAACCAGGAATAAACGTGGCGACAAAATCCTTGGAGTTATGCACAGCAAACAGATCCATGGACAGAATTTATGTAATCAGTAAGTAATAAATAACCATAAATGATGATCTAATTCTTATTTTCAAATCTATGATTCTACATATCAAACTTAGCTCAGGCAAGTTCAAGATAGATACAAAATAACTCCATCAAGCACAGGCAAGAAGCCATCTGTGCTATGAAATTGGTTATGTCTGTGATGACCTAGATGAAAAATAATAATTTATAACATTAAAGCAGCATATACCTGCATCTTTCGTGGGCATCAACAAATTTACTATAAACTCTCAGCATGTCCCAGGCAACAATTTTCTGAAAACTCACACAAAATATAGTCACTAAAACATAAAAGATTAATGAAATAATAAAATTCAAAATAATACAAGGAAGACAGGATGGATATTACATGATGCCCTCATTTCTACAAATTAAAGTTCATTCTGGCAGTTATGAGGAAGACAGGAGGCAAGGAGAAGGACAAACAGTCTCTAAATTTTTAGCTATATCTAGCCAGATTCCAGGACATGGGCTTTATATCAGTCATTACTATGTTTTTTTATTTTTGGTACAGAGGCATTACTACTTTTACCATCAAAGAAACAGTGCTCTACGGGCACTGAACAAATGTATTCCATAAAAAAAATAAATAAATAATTCGCAGATGAATACGATATTTCTCATCCTAAAACCCCTATAAAATGTTTCCAATTAAATTAAGGAAACACAAAATAAAAGAATAGGGTTTAATGTCAAGTGAAATTAAAGAAACCACAAGATATACTTGTATACCTGCCATCCTTGATCAAGAAATAGTTTTTCCTTTGCAAGCAAAGTTGGCGTAGCATAAATACCTAAAAGTAGACAGCCTTGACTCTGAAACAAAATGTGGACAAAGAGTTATTGATTTTCACTAATAACTAGTGTAAGTTTCTATGAGTCAACATCATGGCATCCAAGCTCCTGATTTGTGGAATAAACAGCGCTTAAGCAATGAAAAAAAATCAAATTTCATGCATTTCCACGAAAGAGAAAGGAGGTGTTCTATAAAGGGAATCTTCCTAACTAGCTAATCATCTTTCCACTAACATCAACAAAATGCAAAACAAGATGAAAAGTCTCTGGGTTCAAAAAGAAATTTGCACAAACAGGTGCTCATAAATAAATGAAAATAAGAAAGTAAGACATTTTCACCTCCAAATTTCTTATCATTTGCTGCCCAAAAGCATCATCTAGATGAATCTGTTGGCAGGGACCAGAAACTCTGAATTCATCATTTCTTTTCAACCATGACAGACGCAAAAGGGAAGGCATTCAAGGAAGGAACACTACCAGGAACCACAACCAACAAAAAAGAGGAATTAAAGATGTTGGGGTTTCAGAAAAGTACAGAACCTGCTCATACAAGAAAAATATTGCTGTTGAAAATGTTTTCGATGCCCAACCAACAATAGCACGGCTTGAATCTGGATCCTGGTATATTAAAACGCATTCTGCAATTATAAATGTTGGCAGACTGATACTAATATCAGATGACCCTTAAGGTCCCTAACCATGGAAAAAATAAACAGATCCGAGAAAGACAGAAAAGAAAGAAAATTTGTAAAAAAAACTAAAATAACATGCAAATTTAACACCCAAACAAGGGAAAGAACACAAATTTCTGGAAATAATTACAATCATGAAACATGCAAAATGAAACGGATAGAAAGATATCAATTAATTGCAGTTTCAAAACGGATGAGCAAAATGCTAACAAATACAAAGGAATAGGAATTGATTCATGAACATACCCTGGATCCATATTTGCCAGAGATATGATATCATCCAACTTTTTTATGTTGCACAAATCAACTGGAAGTGGCTTGTAGTGATCACTGAGCACTTCTCCATTCTCTGCAAAGGCATGAACTCTCCATCATTCCACAAAAGAAGCTAGCATTATAATTTCTTCAATCAAAAGTTTGTTGATAGATGATGGACCATAATAAACAAAAATCAGCACCCAAAGCCTCAAAACTTCTAATAAATGCACTAGACATATGATTCTTAAACAAGAAAACTTTTAGACATATTTGACAAAAGAAAACAAACTCACACTAAATATGAGTTATTCACAGAATAGTGGTTGAAAGTGACACTTTTCAGCATCATGTTTTGCACAGTATTTTGAATGCTTTAAAGTTTATGTACCATGAAGCACACTCATGCTAATGGTCCTATGTATCCACATACACCAGGAAAGAAAAATGACATTTTGAGAAATAAAAACAAAAGAAAGCCAACATGAAACTGATATTAGTAGTGATTTGATGCATCAATAATCCAGGGCAACTTACCTCGTGAGATTGATGCTGTTGCACCAATTTTGTTCCTCAACTGACTGCAGGATTCAATAAGGGAAGCCTTTTTACTAGTTACCTATAAGAAAGGAATCACTGTTTAAAGCAGGACATAGTACACATCAATTGCAATCATAAATTTAAAATTGGACCTCTTCATAACCAAGTTCCACATATAGATATGGTGCTTTTCCCTCATCCTGCCCAAGTAAAAGAAAATAAAGACCAATTAAACTTGTCAATATTCAGGCTTCTGTAAGGTAAATCAAAATTTCCAATAACTATAAAACATCTGCAGTAAAAGGGAACATGCATTTTCCCAGATGATTATCAAACATAAAAAAAAAAAAAAGGAATAATGAAATAATTAATATCAGCAAAATGCAACAGTTGAACAACTTAAGTTTGTCGTGTTTTTCACCTATCAAAGAATAAATATTAACATTCTTAGGTCAGTCGAGTGTTACGAGTTTATCCCAACTCACAAGAAAACTCAGGCACCTGCAACTGAAAAAATGTCGTATCAAATCCAGCACCAAGTGATAATATCTGCTTCTTTTCACTATTACATCCTTTGCAATCGAGAAACTGATATAGAAACCTCCTCAGAGCAGCCCAACGTGCAAAGTAACCTCAAATACACACCCAAAAACAAAAAATATTTATATCAATAAGATTAAACCCATTACATAATATCGCAAAAGGAAGAATCAAAATGCAATTTATTCAAATTAATCAAATCTTACCACGGTTAATTATAGGAGATCTCCTCACAGGCCTCCTAACAAACAAATGGATGTAGTCATCTTTCATGTATCCCTTTTTAACACATGACCCTTAAACACACGACAGTAACAACATTATTTTTTTTTCAAAATTAAGAAATATTCAGAATTACTTGGTCCGAACCAACGTTTTAAAAAAAATTCTAAATTATCCAAAACAGAGAAAGAAAAAAGCTCCCAAAATTAATTGTTCATTAGATTAATCTCCTTCGCGCCGAAATCTTGTATTGAAACTTGATAATAAACTGTTAAGAATATTCGAATACAATTCGAATTTTCGAACCCTAGATTTTATGTTTTCTTTAATTTTCCATATCGCAAACAGTGATAAATGAAAATTAACGTTTCCGAGACGGCCAAATACAATGGAGATAATGCGGCAAAAATAAGGAAGGGCACTCGCCATTTACCGGCTGAAGCGTCGTCGTTGGTGGCTTGAACCGCTGCCCTATTGCTGCGTGAATCAGCCGCCGACTTCGCCATGCTTCGATTAATCTTTTCCTAACGCAACGGAAAAGCAAGAACGATAGAGAAAGAGGGAGAGGGAGATTTTTTTTTTTACGAGAGAGAACTAAATTGTAAATAACTGATTTCACAACTGAATATATATATATATATATATATACACACACACACACACAGTCGGAGGTTGGATTCGCCCAAATCTTTTGGCTTCGGATTTGACGCGGCAGTATATACCTTTGGGGAAAAAAAATTGTTTATCCCACTGCAAATGTTGACCGACTTAACGGATACTTTGTTGACCATAAACCGTTTCCAAACTTTGGCTGCATTTGTAGTTACCAATTTACTATCATCCAAAAGTTTATATTTCTCAGGGAGGATGAAAATTTTCCATTGGAATCTTTCAATTTTTTAAAATAATTTGTATTTTCCATTTAATTTTGAAGCCTATTTCAATTTTTTTACAATTTAAAATAGTACGTTAATTGCAAAGTTCTTTTATATTGATGAAAATTTTCACGTGCCATTTATTAAAAAATATTTTTCTGAATATATATCAGTTATATTGATGAACGTTTACCTCCCATTTACGATTATCATTGTAAGTTATTTTGTATTTGTAATTTAAAATATATATATTTGTTGAAAACATGCAACTAATGAATTTTTTAATGAATTTCTTAAAATGGTTTCGTCGTATCATCATGTCACGGTTCAGGACACCTGTGATGTTGTTGTCCAAATTGCAAATACAGAACACATCAGCAATTTCACTTTTTTTCTAAACAATTAATACTACTAACTATTTTGAATATTTTTCTACTATTAGATTAAAAGTTGAATGGGAATGTAAATAATGCAACGTTGAATGAATAATTTAAGAATAAATTTTATTTTTATTGTTTATTAAATTTAATAAATTATTATAAATAATATTTTATAATTCATTAATTAAATTATTACATCATAAATATAACAAAATTTATTTATAATCCATTTATTTATATTTAAAAATATAAATAAATTAAACATTTAACAAAAAATTTATGAATAAAATTAATTTTTATTTACTTATTAAATTAAATAAATAATCATAAATAATATTTTAAAATGAATAAATTATAAATATAATAAAATTAATTTATATTGTATTCATTTACCTTCTAAATTCATATAATAACAATAACTAAAAAACGCTACGATTAAAAAAAAAAACTATGATTACATAGTTTCAATGTGTAGTTTACTACTAATTTTTTAATTTATAATTTGGCAAACCATATAAACCCTCCCCGAAGAGAGCAAAAACAAGAAGGAAATTATAGCGGGACATCTTTATTTCCCAAAACCAAATTCTCTCACTCTCACGGAACTATCAAATCGCACAAATTCCACAATTCTCAGTGTTTTATGTCTATACCGTCGCTTAATCAACCGTCTCCAGCGCCAAGCCCTAATTTTAAAAAAAATCCTCTTCTCTGAACTCCCTGTAAATTTTTTTCAAGAACATTCTTCAATTTTTTTGTTAAAGTTTTTTTTCCCTGGGTGTGCTTTGGGTGGGGGTCGATTTTTTATGATGGATATCGAGCGAAAACAAGCGGATTTGATCGATCACTTCGTCAAGCTAGCGTCGGGTCAGAAGGGCTCGGCTCTTGGCTCCGTAATCGTTGAAGCGACGTCGCATCCTTCCCTCTTCGCCTTCTCCGAGATTCTTGCCGTGCCCAGTGTCGCCAAGGTCCGAACCTGTTCCATTTTGAAAAATTACCCTTCTTTCTTCAATCTAACGAATCAAAGCCGTAACCAATTATTATTATTTTTTGCTGTACATAGTTTGTTAATTATTCAAGGTTCTGGGCATAGCAGCACCCTGTTTGGTTAATGAGAAAATTGGTGAAATATAGGGAAATAAAAAATTTTGATTAACGTGTTTGGATATAGAAATTGACATATTTGTACATTATCCTCTAAAATACATAGCTTATTTTATCTGTATGAATCGTCCCAGAGGAATGCCGTCAATGAAATTAGGTTTGACTCTTGTGGGATTTTTTGTTTGATTTAAAAAAAATTATCTGGCAAATTGATTCATCAGTTTCCTGTGCTTTTCGTTGTTGGGTTGATCATTGGTCAAAGAAGTTCAAATTTGGCTTAAACCCACCAGCTTGATGGGGATTTCGCAATTATATAGTTAGTGTGCTATTAGGTTGTTGTTTTTATCTATGCTATGGTGTTTTAGTTTTCTTGATAAGTTTTTTTTGGGGGGGTTTGAGGCATTAGTTTACTTGTAATTTATGTGAAATTAATGTACCTTTGCAGCTTGAAGGAACTGAAAACTCAGTGTACCTAGAACTGCTTCGGTTGTTTGCACATGGCACATGGAGCGAGTACAAGAGTAAGCTGGAAAACCTGTGTTTTATTGTTTGGCTAGAAGTTTGTGATATGTTCAATGCACTTGTTTCCTTCCTGCACCATAAATTTTCTATTTGAGAAAATTTGAAGATTGTTGGTAGTAAATATGTGTTGCTACTATATTTTCCATATTTTCTCTCTTCCTCACTTCTAATCTTCCTTTTGAAAGTGTTTTGTCTGCAATGTTTATTGTTCCAGGCACAGTAGGCAGCAAAATGCCCTTTACTTAATTCAACTACTTGATATATTTCTTATTCATCTTCTGATTTTCTTCTGCACATCATAATGCGATTGACTTTGGCTGTTTAAACTATTTAATTAGGTAATAGTGGTAATCTTCCTCAACTGGTCCCAGATCAAGTCCTCAAGCTAAAGCAACTTACTGTCCTTACACTTGCTGAGACAAACAAGGTATTCTTTCTGAGTTATGAAGTATTTGCAAATCTACATATGCTATTTTCTGGTATAGTTCCATTCTAGTGGTTATAGATCATTTTGATAGTCATCAAACATGCTGCTTTTAGATATCTGTCATTTAGATAAGTTGCTTCATAACACAATGGAATGAATTCTTTAGAATCTCTTAAAAAATTTAACCTTTTTGCGAATTCTTTTATTTTGCATTCTAACGAAAAAGGGATATTTGTATAGTTTGTGGGGAATCTTTGTATGATAATTATTCTATAGGTTTTTCATGTTGGTTTGCATCCAGTTCATTTATCTTTATTAAATAATAGTTTTAAAATATTTTCTCCAGGTACTACTATATGATCAACTAATGCTCGAGTTAGATGTCACAAATGTCCGTGAACTTGAAGATTTTCTTATCAATGATTGCATGTATGTGGTAGGTGGTCTCCTAGCATGACTTTCTATTCCTTTTTAATGCAAAGATTTACTCCATAGCAACATGCTGTAGCTACTAGAACATCCTTGAAAGGCCCTGGGGATGTGTTGTTTTGATTTTTTTTTTATAAAGGATGATGTTCATTCAAAACATGGCATGTGAATGATCCTGGTATTTGTTCATTGCACCTATTTTTGAGAAGTTAAGTTTTAAGGTGGATCTGCATTCAACACATGGCATGCCAAAGAAGCATCCTTGATATTATATGACACTTCATATATCTTGCTTTTCAAACATGTATCTACAACTATCTGAACTGTCCTTTGGTAGTTGCACCCAAGAACAGAGTCACCGGGGATTGGGAAAGAGGGGGAGAGGAGGAATATTCTCCTATAGTGTAGTTGTAGCAACCATTTGTCCAAAAAAAGAAATAAAGCAGAACTAATTATGTTGCTTGTGTATGTGATAAGTGCTTGTTGCAAATTCTAATTTTCCTCCCCTTCTTTTCAATCTGTTTTTTGTGTCCTAAACACCTGCCTTCATCATGGGCTGTTTTGTTTCCAAAAGGGAGGGGTTGGTTAACTTTTAAAGGAAGCAGGTTGTACCACAGTTAAACTGAAAGTGTGTCGATTGTTCTTTCTTTTTCAACCTTTTTGTTAGGGTATAGTTAGAGGAAAGCTGGATCAGCTGAGAAGATGCTTTGAGGTATGAGTTTGCTGTCTTTACCTTTCAAGTTTTTTGCTTGTCAATTCTTTTTTTCTTTTCTTGGCTTATTAAAGTTTCTAACATTTGTTGTGGAAGGTCCAATTTGCTGGTGGAAGGGATTTGAGGCCGGGACAACTAGGGAGTATGATACAAACATTATCAAACTGGTAATATCTCTAGTTCTAATAGAGCATATGATTAAGTCCTCTATTCATGCTGCAGTTATAGTTGCTACTATCTGATGTCACATTAGCTGTTGGCTTTGTTCATTAGAGCTAGCTAGCTCAAGTAGGCTTGATAGAAGTGCAAAGTTAAATTTGATCAATATCAGCTTCTATCTAACTATCTATCTATCTATCTATCTATCTATATATATATATATATATATATATAAGATCTGTCATGGGCGTAGGTTGAAGAAAGGTTATTAGAGTTAAATTGTTTTATTTCAACTGCTTTTTGGCTTTTTGAACCTAGGTTGGCTACATCAGACAACTTACTTTTCTCAATTCAAGAGAAGATTAAATGGGCTGATACTATGAGTGAGTTGGACAAGAAACATCAAAAGGAGGTTGAAGATAGGGCAGTAGAAGTAAAGAAGTCCCTCTCCCTCAAGGTCAGTTGAATCCAGTTTTCCCATTAAAATTGATTGTCCTTTTGCTGTAATTCAGTATTGCACCATTAAAAAGCTTGAGAAGTAAAATGCAGCCGCAAGTGTTTTCAGTAGTTTTGTTTTCTTGTGCATTTTTAGTTATTAAACTAATCCTATAAAGCATTGAAGAAACCTAATGTAATTTGATTTTCCACATCTATGCTAGTGGTAGACATAAATGTTTTGCATTAAATATTGAAATTTTTTTTTCTTTTTTGGGTTGGGGGGGGGGGGGGGAGATGGTGAGACAGAGAGTCCTTTAATTCTTGTACAAATGCATATACAGAAAAGTTTGGAGCATAAAGCTGCAACTTCCTAGATGCAAATGAGTGAGTTTAACTGGATCTAGAATTAGCATGCCATGACTTCACTCATTCAATATAGAGATATGTTGGTCGATGTGGTTTACTTACATTGTGGCAGAAGTTACACACTGTGAGCAGGCCGACGTTGACTTCCGAGGGCTCGAGGAGATCTACTCTGAACCTGGTGGAGTGATGGATTATGAGGAAGACCGAAGCCGACCCAAGAGGTGACTTCTTTTTCTACTATATTGACTTTTGCTCTATATATGATTTTTACTGAAGAGGTATAATGGTTTTCATGATGTCATTTCATCCACAGCTTGATTTTGATACCTATTGTATACTATCTTCAATTGAGTATATATTAGGTTATTATGACTTCTAAAGTTATGCATATCAATTGGATTGAGAGAACATTGGATCAGAGTGTATTGTTTGAACTGACTGCATTTTACTGATGACTAATGGTGTGGACAAATACAGGAGACGGCATCCAATATCCTGAAGATTGAGCATGCAACCGATTGGATGGTTGTGCAGGTGACCAGCGCCAGATTTTTGTTCACAACATTCCAGCAACAGATGATTCTGCTTTTGGGACAGTGATACTGCTGCTTTGGTACTGAATTTCTCATTGTTGCTTCAGAATTTGAGAATTGTCAGCTTGTCTTCATGAACCTATGGAGTTGGGAAAAACGGGACCAGATCTGGTGCTGCGGCTAAAAACTTTTAAGCAGTTAGATACCCAAGATTTACAATTCAAGTTATTGTACTTTTGATGGTATACTTCATGCTGCATCGTGAAGAATCCATCTCTCTTTGAATCTTGCTTATAATTTATCAATGTTATTGCATGCTTTCTGTGGTTCCATTATGGTGGATAAGCCTGAGCTATTTTGTTTCCGGTACATTCTTTATCCGGCATACGTGTCAATGTAACAGTGCTTGTTCCACAGTTATTTAACTTGTTTCTACTGCTACATTCATCAATTCTTCCATGAAAAATAAAAGCCCATTCAGCCAAGGCTACATTATGTGGCGTTGAGTTTGATAAATTAGGTGGCGTTGCATCTAGCTGTGAAATGAACCAAATCCAAGTCGGGTTTGGTGAATACGTCTTTTTTTAAAAAATATTAATCGTTTCCCTTTTATGGAAATGTAATTAAACAAGTGGAAGTCGAATGTTATCGTCTTTTTACATGTAGTTAATCCTGTGATGTCAATGTATTCTCGAATTTTGACAAAATCACCATTCTTCCTTTTTTTAATTTTTATCTTTACCCCATGTGGATCTGGGGTTGAAAATCATGGAAAAAAATGGAAATTAAAAAAAAAAAAAAACATAAAAGATTATTTACACTTCCATTAACTGATAACGGTCTGCCAAAAATCAGTTGGCATCAACTGATGCATGTCTAGTTCAAACTCACTTCTCAACTCAGATTTAACCGCCGAGTTATTCTCACTCATCCTCAGTTTCGACATGGGGGTTCCGTCATACGATGACATGGATGATGAAGAGGAAGGCCACTGAGCCGATGACCAAGACGAAGAAGGCTCTGAAGACCGCCGCTTGTGATTGGTCACTCTCACTGGCTCCACCTGATCCGAGCCAATGAGGTGTGGAAAATTCAGCTTGGCTTTTGCGCCACGCATTTTGAAAGCCGCTCTGTCATAAGCCAGCGCCGCATCCTCGGGCCTCTCGTAAGTACCAAGCCAGATCCTCCTACCGTTGTTTTTGGGATTCCTTATCTCCGCCGAGTATGTCCCCCACGGCCTTCTCCTTACACCCATATAATGCACCTTCTTCGGCGGTGCCGCGTGGGGTTTAGGGGCAGGCGCAGCCGTAGTTGCCACCTTAGGAGTCACTTCGCAGCTGCTGGGAAATGAGACAGTAACAGAGGCTGTCTCCGCTGCATCAAACAACTGATCGAAGGTTATCCATTGATCAACACTAATAACATCAGTTTTCCAACAACCCATCAGGCCAAATGGAAGTTCCTTGTTTGCTACATTTTCCACAATTTGTTCTGGAAACGTAGCTGGATATTGGGTTTCAAAATCATCTTCTAAAAGATAGTGACTAATCGACTCCAAGAGGCTGAGATCAAATTGATCTGAACTACTTTCACCGTACATAGTTGTTGTTGTTGTGGTTGTCGTCCGAGATGAACCCAAAAATGGAATCAAGCTTTGTAGCTGGCTAGTAAAAGGAGTTGGACGTTCTGAGACAGCGAGAGGTGTGGATTTGAAATGAATGGCTTCGTTGAATTACTGTTTGATTATATATATTGAGACTTTGGTATATATTAAATTATTTCTCATTTTCTTACTTTCTTCTTATAGGGCAATTCAAGGAAGTTTCTCAGGATTGAGATTTGACAATATATATATAATTTTTTTTCGTCACGTTTTTGAAGTGCTTCTTCAATATTCATTCTTTATTATTTAATTTAATCATTATCCCTTTGCATAGTTTTATTCGTAGAATAATGGCGACAGAGGCTCGTTATTGCATACTCAACAATTAATCAAGTGTCTCCTAAGCACTTTGCTTTCAATAGTGCTCATTAAACGCAGACAGCTTCTCCCTGGGCCTAGATAATGCTTGGGAGGCTGGAAATGTATTATACTCTACCTTTTTTATTTGGCAAAGCAAAACCAGCCTTTAAAGTGATTGAACAAAGAGGATGTTAATTTTAATTAAGTTTTATTTGCAGGAGATTGGAAATATTTTACGCTTCTACCTTGATTAATTTTTTAATAATCTTGTATTTGGGTCCTAATAAAATCAGTCAAATAATTGATATAAAACCTTACTCCTCGTTTAATTTGAGGAATAAAATAGAAGGAGAATAAAATAGATATTTTATGAAAGTAAAAAATAAAATATATATTATTAAATTTGGTTCATTAAATTAAGGAATAATTAGTGTTAGTATATTTATTTAATTCAAAAATATGAAAAGAATAAATTCAAATTCTTGAATAGAAAGAAACAAAACTAATTCCATGAAGCAAAGGAATTGCAAAACCTACATCTACAAAAGAAAGCTAATTCCTCTTTCACATAGAGTCCTTAGACCGCAAAATATCTTTTTATTCCCTTATTTTGAGCCAAACAATGGAAACGTGGTCCCTCGAGAAAACACACGGAATAGAAAAGCTATTCCTTCAAACCAAACGAGCTGTTAGATTAATTTTGACCGAGGAATACAAGACATGGGTTGAAGAGACCAAAGGCTAAAAGGGAATAAATTTGACCTTACCAAAACACGCTTAAGTATTGAATTATGTATTATAATATGTAATGTATAGTGGTAAAGGACATTGAATCTGTCATAACTAGGCTGCGCAAACTCAAATGCCTATGATTTTAATAAATTTATATAATAATTAATTTTGTTGTGTAGATTATTAAAATAATAAATAAACACATGTTAAATTTTATTTTATTTTTTATATAAAAAATGTAATTTAGAAATAAAAAAATTACAAATATTAAAACTTAAATTTAGATTTATTAAATAATATTTTTTAAAAATAATTATATAAATTAATTGAATTAAATTTTGATATATTGTTTAAGAACTTGAAATAACCCGTGAAATTATTTATTTAATTATAATTACTTCATATATTTTAAGATCATCATAAGTAATTAATTAATTAATTAACTCCTTTTATTCTCTCTTCAATTCTGTTTTTATATAGCATAATCAATGGATTAATACTCAATTAATTAATGCAACGTCCAAAATTATATAAAAAAAGCAATACAACACGTGGACACAGCGAACCTTAGGCCATCTATAGTACACATGCATATTTGTTATCTTACTTAGGGCCAATTTGAATCTGGCCGTATTTTTAGTGATTTGAGATTTTGCCCTTAAATGAAAATGAATAACACTGGGACATTCATTTGGATGTTACTAAACCAGCACGTTCGGAGATTTAAACTTCGTTTACCCACTGATAGGATTTTGGTCTGGCGGTGGACTGGAGTTATTTCGGATTTCGGGTCGGGGTCGAGTCGAGTAAATTTAGGTAATAGTCGGGGTCGGGTCGGATTCGGGTATGCCTAAAACCCGATCCTACTCGATCCGATATTATTAAAAAATTATTTTTTAATTAATTAATTAATTATATATATTTATATAATGATATTTTTAAATATTTATATTTAAAATATAATATTTTATATTTTAAAAAATAATATTTTATTAATTCGGGTCGGATCGGGTCAGGTACGATTTACATATTGTCAGGTTGGATCGAGTTCGGGTATTAAAATAATTCGGGATCGGATTTGATGAGCATAAAATCGGGTCGGGTTCGGGGCGAGCAAAACCCGCCTCGAACCCGACCCGATGCCATCCCTGGTGGACTGGAGTTCAATTTTTAATTTTTACTTTTTTGTCCTTTACTTTATACTATAAATACAAAAATATTCTTTCGATTTAATTTTTTTTATTTTGAATTTTTATTTAAAAATTATGTAATATAATAAAAATATATTATTATATAATAAATTAATAAAAATAAAATTTATTACTATATAACAAACTATTATTTTTTATTCATTTTTAATTATTTTTTAATAAACAAAATTATTATTTGTCATAAAAATAATTTAATAATTTTTAAATTTCTTAAATGTTAGTAATTTAAAAATTTTATTACATATAAATTTTAATCTAATTTTTTGTTTTATTTTTCATCATAATTCAACTTACCACTATCGCTACATTTATATCAAAATGCATATTTTTCACCACTAATTTTAATTACATTGATACGATAATTAATTTAATCTCTACTATTATTTTTAATTTTACCGAAATCAATTTTACTATTTATCCAAATTGACCCTTAGTAATTTTTAATCACTAAATAAACTATTTCGAATAGCAGTCCAATTAGTTGTTTGACGCAATGTTTTGTTTATTTTTAAAAGAATAGCTTTATTCCTTTTCTATTAAAAATACTTTCCTCTTGACCAATTGATGAGATTGTTATATAAAGTTGATTCCACTTTTTGGTGTTATTTTTTAAAAATCAGCTTGTTTTGATAAGCTGAAATTTTGATTTCTCAATATCTACATCTAAAGCACATGCATACCTACTAAAAAAAAGAAAAAAAATCTGCTTTTCATGAAAAAGAAAATATATTTAAACTATGGCATGTTAAACGACAAAGAAAATTTCTACCATTATGGGCTTCAACGCAGAAACTTTTATTTCCATCTCATTGTAGAAAAGAGAAATATGAGGTCAACATGTAAAACAATTAATTAATGATTTAGGATTTAAGATTTAAGATATAGGGTGAGTTAATACTACATATAACACATAACATGGGTTAAAGCAAATCCTGAGTTATTCTTCACCGCTTTTTTGAATTTTCAGGGTGAGAAATCGAATATAAGGTCAAACCTAACAACACCATTTTCAAATGGAGTTCATAGTTTTTACCAAACTATTCTTTGACCAAATCTCTGACTTGAGAAAATAAATGTTGGATGGCCTAAAAGAGAAGACATTGACATTGTAAAATCCTAAAATTTAATCATTATACAAGTTCTTGTGCTTCAAAACAAATATCAAACAAAGCCAAACAAATCCTTGTAAATATTGAATTATGTAGAAGAGTGACACCCAAAAAATCAACTAAGTAAACCACATATTGGTACAAGAGCCTTTATCTTGTTATTTTTGAGCTAATATGCCGTATTGGTGAAGTTGAAATTAGATTATATTTTCATGCCTTCATAAATGGTTATACAGATAAGATACCAAGTACAAGAAATCAATGAATATATATATATTCAACGATGAATTGAAAAAAAACATATAAAATAGTGTTGATAATACCAAAAAAAAAAATGTTCTCTCTTATTAAATTATATTTGCATTAGAATATTACAAATTAATATATTTTTTCTATGATGGAAGCCAAAATCGAGAGGATATATACGAGAAAGAAAATTGCAAGTGTTGGAATCAAACTCTAATCTTGCAAGAATTCACCTCAATCGATTAATTATTTGGACTAAATCTTAGGTTTTTCAAATTAATATTGATTTTCTTGAACGTGGGATAATTAGAAGTTAATTACAATATTCTGGTGTCAACATGCATGCTAATTTATGTATGAATTCATATATTATCGAAATTTATAAGCCAACAATTTGCTCATCGGCAGGATATATAAACTAGAGCCAAATTGTTTATTAGAACAAATTAAAACAATCAATCAACGGCCTTAAATCATACAAATGTTTTCACTTCTTAATTTTTCTCTTCCCGAAGAAAAGAAGTAAATATGGAATCAGGCCTTAATACACAGAACCAAATTAGAGCCAGTCTTTTTGTCACCAAAAAAAAAAAAAAATCAGTTTTTGTTTGTACATATATTCCTCAGTAATCTTATTTCAATCCAAAGAAAATTGCTTGGACCAATGGTCTCCAAGTGTCCAAGGACTCATTTGAATCACCTCCGCAGCTAAACTTGCATTTCCAGCCGGCAGCTTGGATGTAGACTCAGAGTTACTTGCAGCATTCTTCCTCCTCTTCGGCTTTGGTGAGTAATTGCTCAGTAAGGACGATGTTGTCGAAGCTGAAGGTTCTGGTGAGCGACGCCTTGTGCCTACTCTAATTGGCTCCCAAGTGTTGGAGCCAATCAAGTGAGGAAAATTCAGCTTAGCCTTAGCCCCCCGCATTTTGAAAGCGGCTCTATCGTAAGCCAATGCAGCATCCTCAGGCGTCTCGTAAGTGCCGAGCCACTTCCTCGCACCGCTCATCTTAGGGTCCCTTATCTCCGCTGTGTACTTTCCCCATGGCCTTCTTCTCACTCCTTTATAATTCATCCCCCTCGGAGGCAGCGCGTTGGTTTGACGTTCCAACTTAAACTCTTCTTTCTCTTCCCTGTAGGACCCTTCTTCAACCGCCTCTGCTACCCTTGTTAAATCAGCCTCGTTCGAAGGACTCCACCCAGAGTTTGCCGCATCACGCAAAGCACTGTAAACCAGCATATCCTCGGAATCATCAATCTTTAAGGGCAAATCACCCCAACTTTCATTCAAAAAAGTAGTACTAAAACTTGAACTCCGGTTATAGGAAGGTTCAAGAACAATATTATTGCCGGTGTAAGTTGCTGTTGGTGGAGAATCGTCAAAATCATCAAGGGGATAGCGTTGAAAAGATTGAAGGATGTTGAACTCTGATTCTGAGAAAATCTCCAGTACTTTCATTTTTCTTTTTCTTTTTGATTAGCAAAGCAATGAAGCTTTCTTTTGGCTTTTGTTGTTTGAAAATGGAAACTGTCGGTGATTTTTAGAGTGTGAGAGTGAAGATTTGATGAAGGGTATTGTTGTTTATATAGGAGGAAACAGTGACGAAAAACTAACTAAACCCTGATTTTTAGTCTTTTAAGACATTTCTATGAATGTTCCTGCGCCATGGGGCATTAGGGTAGGTTTTAAATTTTAATCACATGTTGAATTTCTCTTACTAAAACCATAATATAATAAGCATAATGCTCCATCCACGTTTGTTTCTTTTATATATTTTAAAAAAGATGTTGATTTTGGATTATTTTAATTTATTCTACCATGAATTCGTGAGTTAAGATCACTAGATTGGACCATAGTCCAGATAACGTTTGAAGCTTAGCAGTGTTAAAAGACGGACGTCGAATGTCGTTTAACACGCTTAACTAACAAAGTAGGTTTTATTGCCATATATAATATAGAAAATCAAGGATTGTTGTTCCATTTTTTCCAATCAGAACATGATAAAAAAGTGTGAAGGTAAAGACTTATTAAGATGTCGAAATCATATGACACATTGATCGGGATTTACATTTTGGTGCCTATGATTCGATAACGATTGAAGAACTTCTCTCTAAACACGAATTATGTACATTAGTAGTTTTAAGTTTTTATATATATTCAATCTTAAAGACTTTTTGATCATTCGTCAAAAAAAAAAAAAAAACAAAGGAATTGAGATGATATATCTTGCAAAATTTTCCATTCCAAACATATGAATGCAAGATTTTCCACATTCTAAAAAGTTGATTCTATATGATCTTTCATCCTATTTTGCTCCGTAATTTACTAATTGTTTTAACTTATTTAGATAATCAAGAAATGTTAACTTTCAGATGATCTTCCATTTGGAAAGACAAAGAAATTCTGCTTCGGAAATGTAAGGGCATCAGAAGCTACCGTGTTAATTTAAAAATTAAGGCAACGTTTTCTAAGACGTGGGGTCAATTATTATATTATAATATATTTAATTTAAAGACTTGAAATTCACAATTGTTTTATTTGGTGCACATGAGAATTTTATAATTACTTTTATTTTTATGTAACATGGCACGTGGAAATCATGCTGTTTTGTTTTTATTATCTAATCATATTTACTATCAAAATCAAGCAATGTAAATAAATTATTGAGTCCTCGTAAACACTTGGTAATTAAACATTTATTTTAAAATTTTTTATATTTAATGTATTATTTTTATTAAATTTAAAATAAATTATTTTAATATATTAATTATGAATTTTTTATAAATTATATTTAAAAAAGTGTCTATTAGTAATCTTTACATTAATTTGTACATACTCAAACGCATCCGTCCACTATAAATTCCATTTTTTGGAGTATGATAAAACAATCCGATTAGCATATAATTGTAAAGTTGTAATTAATTAAGTATTGACAAGTACTATATTTAAATAAAAATGAATTAGAAAAGATAGTCTTAATAGTAACAATCCAATTTTATCTTTTTGTGGAAAGAAAGAAAAAATTATATATCGATTTTTTAAAGATTATTGGTTAATGACTTGTGAGAATTTTCTCACCCAGTCAAGAATTTGATGGCAAACGTAATTAACAAGACATCTCAACTCTCATTTAATTAATTAGTGAGAGAAAGTTGCAATATCAATGCGTAACATGTCTATCATCAGCATGCTATTGTAAGGATGGCTCATTTTCATAAAAAAAATAAAAAAAATTGAGTGGATGAAATTATAAGTATAAGAGAATTACAATTATAAGAAAATATTACATTCATGAATAAGAAATTATTAAATAATTAATTAACAAAGTAAAATATAATTGGATAAATTTAATATAAAATTAATTCAAACTCACACACAGTGAGATTTGAATTTTAAATTTTAAAATTCTAAAATTTCTTCATTACCTTTAAATCAAAATTTCATTAAAATTTTAAACATTAAAATTAACTCTATAATTACAAATTTAATATTTTATCAATAGATGACATAATTATTCAGATTAATTCGATATTTATATGTTAATTATAAATTTCACAATCACTAAGGCACGTGTTTGAACAGCCTTTGTATCTTAAAAAAATAAAATGAAATTTAGAAGAAGAAGATAAGGTGTCAATAAAATAACCAAAAGAAGACATCCCTTCCAACTTGTGGAAAATGCAGATTCCTCTTCCTTTAACCAAAATAACCAGAGCCGCCTCTTGTTTATTTCCACAGTGGATAGCGTCTAGCTCGCCTATGCTGAAGCAGTGAAAGAGGGTCCATTAATGGCTTGGCTAGTAATTTCATATGTTAATTGCCAGGAGTGAGTATTTTTATACTTTCTATCAATCTAACATATACTATACATAGTTATAGTAATTTTGCCGATTATGATCTTAATCGTAATGCTTAACATTGTTTTCTTTTCCTTTTTTTGTCAGCATGCATCCACTAAGATCGAAGCCATCAAGAAAAGAAATAAGGCCAACAGGCCAAAGGAGGCCTGTAGGTGTTGCCATTGCCTCTTTAATTACTAGCTATATATCCTAATTTTGCTATGCTCCAACTTCAAATAGTGATTATGCACGTTGTAAGAGATCATGCAATGTGTATCTGAGCCTATTGTATTAGTAATAAAAAAGGAAATTCATGAAAATTTCCTACACTTGTTAATTAGCTCACAGCAACTGTTTGAAGTATATACATTCAAAGTTTTTATCTACTCCTTTCATAATTTGTTTTGAATTCTATTATATATGGCTCAAATTTCAATACGCCCTTTTGTACTTAAAAACGAAACGAGTACGAAACCCATATCTAAGTTTCCCTTTCATGATTTAATTGCACGTGTTTAAGCTTCGGCATTCACTTGGTGCCATCCGATAAAAAATAATATGGGAACGGTCATCAGAAACAGGTGGCCATCTTTACTAGAAACTGATGAATTTGAAAGTGCTTCGAGTCTTCGTGATTTTGTGATCGGCAGCTAGTCGCAGTAGCTTTCTATCGTCTCTTTTGAAGAAAAAAAAATTTACGTAACGGGATCGTCAGATAAAAAAAATTTTAAAATTAAAAAAAAATAAAGAAAGTCATCATCAATTATTTTTTAAGATGTGATTGATTATTTAAAAATTTATCTTTTTAATAAAATTATAAAAGTAAATTTAAAGTTTATCAAAAAATAAATTTTAATATACGAAAATCAAGTTTGGTTCAAAAGTCGATTACGTGTGAAGAAAGATTAACACATCCACAACACTCATAAATTGATACAATTTAATTATACGCTATTTTTTATGTTAGATGAAATGATTTCGATTTAAAATTTAATACTAATTCCCTTCATTAAAAAATTTTTGCTAAAATTTTTTATTTAGAAATATTGAAAAAATCTTCAAGTTAAAGAATCATTTTAAAATTTTCAATATTTAGGCAGATTTTAAAATAATTCTTTTCACTTAAGATTTAATACAATATCCCTTAAAATGAAAATAACACTCATTGCAAGAAATGATTATTGGTGACTCTCCAACATCTAGATAGAGTATTGAGAATTGTTTCCTTTGAAATGTTATTTTTATTTTATTTTATAATATCACAATTTTAAAAGTAAGTAAATTAAAAAACACTTTATGTGAGAAAGTAAATAATGGTATTTTCAGATAGCAAGTAAAATTAAAGACAAAGAAATGCAAACAAGTGCAAATAATAACAAATAAATGCATGTAAGCTAATAGGTGTTGTGTATGATGATGAAATGCAAATTTAAAATTGGATTCTTAAATATAATGAAACCACTTTGATTCTCCAATATTTAAGCAGAGTTTAGGTACGACTATTCATATTAAATCCCATTTTATTATTATTATTTTTTTATTAAAGCATATTATTTTATTGTTAAAGCAAATTAATGACTTATGTGAAAAAATTAATTCTCTCATATCCTTCTTGGATCCCTTCAAAGGTCTACTATCCAATCTCAATTTCTTATTTTTTAATAGATTTTGTAGATCTTCTTTCAATACCTTTTATTCCTTAGTCAACTTTTGTACTACATCATCTTTTATCATCAAATCATATCTCAGTTGGTTGACTTAATCCATTATTGCCATATTCTCTTTCTCTAATTTTTCCTTTAAATCTCAAACTTCCATTGGGCAATCTCAAAAGTCAACAATACCGACATTGAAATATGAGTAGGCAACTTGTCTGAAACATCAGCTGGTAAAGGCTTAACTTCATTAGCCCTTTTCATTCTCCATGCAAGGTAACCTTTTGTAACATTATCTGTAAATGTAATCAGGCTTATTCGATTGACTTGCTTTCATGCCTTGATGATTTTACAAACTTTTTTCATATAACCAGGTGCCCCATAATCAAATTCGAGCGAACTGAGTCCATGAGTCATAAGGATAAACTGTCGTGAGTCATATTATCTTTGAATCATAAGGGATGCATAACTCACTGCCCCTCATATTCCTAATAAAGATACCTATGACTTGTCTCCACAATTATATAGGATGGGCATAGGAAGTATCCACTATGCCCTCTATGTTATATCCTCACTGGTAAGTTTTAAAAAGAATGACACATATTGACATTTTTTCCACTCCCTTCGTTATTCCTTGGCAATAAACTCCTTAATGAAAACAAAATGAATGGAAAATGATCGAAATGATATCTTTTTTTTTTTCTTAAAAGTGACTTTTAAGCCAAATAAAAAGTAGCTGAACACATCTTATAAATCGCCCATCATCATTCCTTCGATAAAAATTAAGTGATCTAACATTCTCTGCTAAAATAGTCAATAAAGGGCTTATACCTTTATCCAATTGCTCATAAAAATTTATGCTTCTATATGTCCTAACACTTTAGGAAATATCATCAATGTATACACAACCAAAGCAAATACATCCAACCTTTGATTAGTATCAATATACTTCTTTATATGCTTAAAAAAATTGATGGAATAGTCTCGACCCCGTTCTTTTCCTTCCTATGCTTGTCTATCTCATCAACCCCTATTTGCATAATCTTGGTTAAACATA